GGCTGTATCTTTGGTAGGGCCAAAAGAAAAAATATAACTTCTGCTACTGCCAGTTGAAGCACTACAAAGGACAGGGAAAAAAGACAAGATTCTATCTTTCTTGCCCGCTTACGCCATGTCTTGTCTGAAGCAATGTGTTATGTCACCAGCCCCCGTTCACCTTCCAGTTTCGAAGAATTGTGTTAGCTGTCCACTTTTCTTTCAATCCAAATATTATTTGGCTTCACTGTTTCTAGATTAAATGGGAAAATGCCACCTTCTCTGCATCTTTCGGGGCTTAACATAAATGTTATCCCAAAGCACTTCTGAAATAGCAGTTCTTGTTGCCTTTGAGTTCCAGCCTCACAACTTTTTTCATCCTTTGACACAAACAGGAATTGTCTGGAGTTCATGCTTAAAAATGAGGATGATTCATGGCCTTGGCTTTAAGATGGCTGGGACTACTTTATCATTCTACATCCACATCCATCTATTGAGGAGAATTCAATAGGATGGTGGATGCTGAATGTGTGAGCAGAATCCCAAATACCCCAAATAAATGAAGGTCTTTGTGTTTCTTGGTATCTCACAGTCAGTTGTGACCCTGGATGGAGACAAGCTAGTGCATGTACAGAAGTGGGACGGCAAAGAGACAAACTTTGTGAGAGAAATAAAGGATGGCAAAATGGTCATGGTAAGTATAAAGCTCGCTGAGCATTCACATACCCTGCTAACGCTCCTCACTCGCACTATCTGATCATAAAGCTTGAGATAACTGTTACTTCTACACAAACCCTTAAACTATTTGGTGGTGAAAGCTGGCAGAGATTTGTTTTGAATATTCAGTTTTGTTTCGTGTCTTGTTTTACTGACAACTGAAAAATTGCTAGTGGTTTTAGGCAGGCCAGCCTGTGAATTTCCAGAGTGTATGTGTTCTTCTAGAGTTTGTGTAAATGCCCAAGCAAAAAAAAAAAATCCTGGTGAGCTGGAAAAGATAAAAGTTCTTGATATAGGCAATGATGTGTGGCCAGTGCTGAGTGAGATTTCTTTGAAAACTTGATTTATATATGCATGCATAAATAATATTTAATTACACGGAACAAGTATTTCCCTAGGAAAATAAAATTACAGTATTGCAGGAGGTAATAGTGTTTTCTTATTTAGTAATACGGAGTTTATTCCTCCTATCCTGTTAAAGACTATGATAAACAGCAATTGTGAGAAGAAAAGTCTTGTTTTAAATTCATGTTCTTTTCCTGACTTTTCAGGAACAGGAATTCGGGGTGAATAAATGGTGTAAGTTACTATATCTGATGTCCAGGGTGGCACTTCTCGTGCTTATTTTGAAAGTTACAGAGATGTAACTTTCAAAAATAAAATCTCTTTAGTTTAACTAATCTATGTGACTTGGCTGTTGGAGAAAACCACTAAGCTTGTTTTTTAAATACTTGAGAGAGTATCTGTATGGATGGATACTTGCAAATAATTAAAACCTTAAAAGCATACAGTCAGCGCAACACAAATTCACAAGCGATTCAAGGGAAAATACATGCTTTGTTTTTGGGAACCGCTACATGCGTATACAGAAAACCTTTTCCTTTGGGATTTGAACACAGTGAGATGCCGTGTTCCACTTCAGGAAATGCCTCCGAAGCTCACACACTGTAGTTAGTGTTCTGCACAACTGCAGTTAACTAAAATATTTGGTAGTTATAGCTACATAAGTGCACAGAATGCATTTATTTTAATACAGGGTTCTCCTCAAGTATATATGCCTATGCATGGTAGTATGGAATATGGGTATAGAGGACTTGGATTTTTAGATTGTACATTTTGCAATGTGACCAGCTTTATGACAGTAAGTGTTAAATCTGTATTAAATGATGCTGTATTTAAGAAATTAGATTCACAAAATTAGAAAAATTAAAGAGTCATTTCTAGTCTCGCTGTAGCTGCCTTGTAGATGTGCATTATGTGCTTCTCGGGTTTGAAAGTAACAAGGGGAAAGTTAGGATTATTATGGGATCCGTGGCTTTGAGGTTTTGCCTCTTGTTCATTGAAAATACCGATAATTGAGACCAACTTGCTTTTCTGTAGATTACGTAACATAAAACAGCCTTCCTCTGGCATGGAGTTCTCAATACGTGTTAAGTCATTACAGAAACTGGTCCAGCATCTAACATGTCTGTCTTTTCCTTGGACTTGCAGACTCTCACCTTTGGTGATGTGGTTGCTGTTCGCCACTATGAGAAAGCGTAGAGTTTACCTGACCTCTGTCCAGATGTTACTTCTGCTGGATGGATTAACGTACCGTCCATAACTGAACGTAGCTAAAATGCACACTTCTGGCATGAAAGGTTAATAAAAAGTTGGGGGGAGGAGGAGGGCGGTGTTTTTTTTTTTTAAAAAAAACCTTTATGCCATCAAATTGGCAAGCTTGTGCTGTATAGTGAAACAGGTTAAACGGCATTAAATTTCTGAAACACTTGCCTCTCTTTTTTTACAGTAAATGGAACATATTTGAATTGTTTTGGAATGCAGATCAAACAGAAATTAAAAAGTTTTTTAAACCTGTGCTCCTTTTGCATTTAATCGACTAATATTCCAGCGTTCTGGAGGGAGTTGTTGAAAGCTCCTTTCTCCGAGTTAAACAGAAACTCATGTGGTACACAACGCTGCAGCATCCTCTCTGTGCTGTAGAGTACACGCGAAACAGAAGATTGCCTTTACCCTGCTCCAGTGGCTTCTTTTTGCTGGAGAAATCTAAAGCCCTGTCTTTATACTTGTAAGCAGAGAAGTGAGAGCCTCAAGCCAGTTTCAGCTCTTCTCTTTACTGGGAACTCGTTATCCAGAGCCGATAGACAGACAGCCTTCGATGTCAGTGCAGATCCTTTAGTTTTGGCTTTAATAGTTACAAGAGTTTTTAATTTGATTTAGTGGGCTTTTTTGCTAATATACAAAAGATTGAAGTGTTGCACAGGATGGGAGGAAAGAACCAATATGACAAAGGGCAGGACTAGGGGAACCTAAAATACAAAGCTTATCTTTCATCAGTCTCCGCAGGGGTGGGAGGAAAACAAAGGGAAAACAGTACAAGGCAAACCTGAGATTCCCCACTCTGAGCTGTAGTTTCATAGCTAACATGTACAGGAGGGAACAACTTGCACTGTGAGCAATATAAAATAAAATGCTGCTTAAAAGAGAGAAATTAAAGCCTTATTCTTGAAGAATATTCCCTAAAAGACCTGGATAGGAAAACCTGCCTTATGCTTCAGATTATTGGGAAGACTGAAATAGGTTACTGGCAGTATGGAGGAGATTGTTTGGAGAGTCCATGTTTTGTGACATACTGACTCAGTGGACCACATGAAGGTGTAGCTACCTCCAACCTTTCAAACAAAGGCAGAGCTGAGCTGTGGCATTTAGCTGGTCCCTGCTTGGGGACATGTGGCTCCAGAGGGCGATGCAGGAAGGCTGTCCTGCCTGACTTCCCAGGCCTAGTATTGCCCTGTGCCATCCTTCAGATCTGCAATGTGGTATCGTGGGAAGTGGCTTCTTGCTTCCCTGGGCAGCTAGGATAACATGGGTAGCTCCTCTTACTTACCTGATAAAAGTTCAGACGCAACTATGGCACCCAACCAACACAAACACGAAATTTAATTTTGTTAGCTTTACTTTTGCACAAAGAAGCTGCCTGAACGGAACACTGAAGTCTGTTTTCTCTTGTGGAGAATGACGAGTCCTTAATTATGAACCATTATAAATATGTTTTATTTGGTGGATATCGAATGTTTTTAAAATCTACGACCTAACTTTTTTCAGCAGGGAAATGAAAAGTAGAACTTGTTCCAGTGGTACGGGGAGCTGCAGTCTCTGTTTTGAGCTGCTTCAGCTGCTACAGTGCAAGTTACGTTTAAACAGCATCTTCTGCCCTTCATTTTTATTAGCTCATTTACTCCTCAGCTGCAGTACCTAACACAGCTTTCATCTGCCTCCCCTCCATTGCTGCCTGTTTGCCTGCAGGTGCATTCACCACATAACTGTCCTTCCCATCCCACCCCTTCTCAGAAAGGTGGGAGCAGCTGCTTTTCCTTTGTCACTGGAGAAAAGTTGGGTCCTCGGTACTGGCATTCATCCTCATTACATGTGATTTGTGGGGATGTGAATTAAAAGTTTTTTATTAAACATAAGGAAAGGAACACAGAGACAGATTGTTAAGACTTGGTTTACAAATAAACCCTGAATGATAAATATTTTACGTTACAGTCACTTTTAAACAAACATTACT